TATGTAATAAAATCACAGAATGTCAGATAAGGAAACAACCTTTGAAATCATCTTTCAACACTAACCTAACTCAGATGAGGACACTGCAGCCCAGAGAGAGTAAGAGGTTCCATGCATACTATCATGTTGGTTCCAAACAAGTAGGCATGTTCTCACCTTCAGGGTTGCTTGGGCTGTTCCCCCACAACCAACTTTCTCTCTAAGCGATAGTTCATGTTCCTTTCTCAATCTAACTTACCCTGACCACACTATTGAAAATAATAAAATGTGTCTCCACCACAGACTCTTAATCTTTTTTTTTTCAAATAAACTTTTCATTTTAGATTAGCTTTAGATCTTCAGAATCATTACAGATATAGTATATCTTATACCCAGTCTCCTCTTTTGCATTAGTATGGCACATTCATAACAATAAAGGAACCAATATTGATAATTATTATGAATTAAAGTCCATGCTTTATTCAGATTTCCTTAATTTTTTCCCTACTGTATCTTTTCTGGGACCCTACAGGATACCACATGACATTTAGTAATCCCATCTCTTTATCTTCTCTTGACTGTGACAGCTTCTCTGGTTTTGCTTGTTTCTGATGACCTTAACAGGTTGAGGAGATACTGGTCAGATATTTTACAAAATGTCTCTCAGATGGGATTTGGTGTTTTTTTCTGGATTAGACCAGAGCTGCATGTTTGGGGGAGAAAGTTCCCAGGTTCAAAGTGCCGTTCTCTTTATGTTATGGGTATAATAAACATGGCTTAGCTACTGTTGGTGTTAACCTTGGTCACCTGGCTTGAGATACACTTACTTTTCCCTTAAGCACTTACCACCTAATTTATTTCTTTAATGTTTAGTGTTCTCTCTACACTGAAATAGAAGCTCTTTGAGTCCAGATATGTATGCTCATTTTGTTCACTGAGATATCTCAAATACATACCATTGAATAGTATCTGGTGCACACGCAAGCGCGCACGCACACGCACGCACACACACAAGCACTAAACAGATACATACTGAATGAATGTGTTGTTATTCCTTGACATGTCATTCAGAGATTTTCATGACCTAGTCACCTGGTTAATGCAATATTGCTGTTTAACTCCTCCATGTTTTTGTCCAGTTGGGGGAACCTCCCCTATTTGCTTAGGCTCTTCTAGCACTCTAGGTTTGCCACAATCAGACTCTCCAGATCCCACTCTTAAGTTCCAAGCTACCTGACAACAGATATCCTACTTCTCCTCCTGCACAGCCTCTGTTTTTCATCTTTTTGGGCTCCATTGTCCAACCTTACTCTTTTTGGATTTCAACTTTTCCCTGGGTTCTACTGCCCTTAATCAGTTTCATTTCTGTATTGAGTGTCTCTTACTTGCTTTCCTCATTTTGGTTGGAATTCACTAATAAAAAGTAATAACATTCATACAGGTCAGACTATGAAGTCCTCCTACTGGCAAATTGAACTTCAGTGTGTGGTTACAGTGTGTTATGCCTCGGCATAAAGCTGAACATCAGGAGCTAATTAGAACCATGCTCTAAATTTGGCTTAACCACATACTGGGTGGCTTCTGGCAAACCATTTAATCTCTGGGTGCCATACTCAGCTACCTATAGCCAATAAAGATGCTAATATTAAATTGCTTTGCATGTAGATAATTTATTAAGGGGCTGTTCTGATATGCCTTTAAAATACAAACCTCTGGGGCAGTCCTTTAGGTCTCTTGGCAAGGCTCCAGCCTCTCTCCACTGAAAAAAGAAGTCGGCAACTACAGAGCAAAGTCACTGGTCCCTAGGAAAAGCCTTGCCCGGGACAGGGCTCTGGCCCATAGTGGCTGGACAGGCACTGGCACAGGCACAGTCTTGCTGGTCTGCTGGAAGTACACAGACATTGACACAGACTTTCTGGTCTCTTGGAAGAGGGCAAGACCCCAAATCAGAGCAAAATCCACTTCCAATCTAAACTAGGCCCCTTCCAGTCACAAGTATCCACAATCAGAACAGAAATAATATAGTAAATGTCACACGTCCAGACAAGCTGTACCCAGAGTACCATATGAAGAGAGGAATTTTTGTTTCTTTCTTTTTTCTCTTTGAAAAACAGACCAATCCCCATGCTCAACACAAACCTCTGTATAATTACGGAGTACTCCACTGGACCTCACCCATTCAATAGCTATGTGCTCCTGATGTTTCCTTAGAAAGATTCATCAGCCCACCGAAGGCAAAGTCAGCAACCAACTACTTATAATGCATTACTTTTCAGCTAAATGCAGTGACCTATAGATACTTAATCTTGTAAGTATGGAAATAAAGTATTTGTAAATAAGGAAGGGAGGAGGGGTAAAGGGAGGGAAGGGGTAAGGGGAGAAAGTGAGAACCAAGACCTGTCATGTAAAGGTACAAGATCCCAACTATGAATGTTACTGTACTATATACCTAAAATGTACAAATAAACTCAATGAGAAAAAGAAGAATACCCTTTCTGTAAAAGGAAGCACTTCTATTTAATACAGATTGGGAAACTGAGGTCCATTTGCCAATGTGGTAATAAAACAGCTCCAGCCAAAGAATCCTATGCATGCATCAAAATGTAATAAGATGAAGAATCAGTGTACTGCTATTTTCTAA